CTATATATCTCTGAAATGGCTCTACCCAGACAAAGAGGGGCAATGAACATAGGCTTCCAATGTGGTGTTGGTATTGGAGTTCTTGCAGCAAACCTTATCAATTTTGGCACTGAAAAGATCAAAGGTGGTTGGGGATGGCGTGTCTCCTTAGCTATGGCAGCAGTCCCTGCATCAATTCTAACACTGAGTGCAATTCTTCTTCCAGAAACCCCCAACAGCTTAATCCAACGTGGAAATGACAACCAGAAGGCCAAACACGTGCTGCAACGCATACGAGGCACCACTGATGTTCAAGCAGAACTCAATGATCTCATCAAAGCAAGCTCAATCTCGAAAGCCATCAACCACCCTTTCAAGAAAATTATACAAAGAAAATACATGCCTCAACTAGTGATGGCAATGGCCATACCATTCTTTCAACAAGTGACAGGCATCAATGTCATCACATTCTATGCTCCAATATTATTCAGGACAATTGGCTTAGGTGAGAGTGCTTCTCTCATGTCTGCAGTGGTAACAGGCCTTGTTGGCACTGCCTCTACATTCATATCAATGCTAGTAGTAGACAAGCTTGGCCGAAGAACATTATTCATGATAGGGGGAATCCAAATGCTTCTGTCACAAGTAATAGTCGGAGGTATCATGGCAGCACAGCTAGGGGATCAAGGTGGGTTAAGCAAAGGGTACTCATACTTGGTTTTAGTCTTGATATGCACATATGTTGCTGGGTTTGCATGGTCATGGGGTCCCTTGGGATGGTTAGTTCCCAGTGAGATTTTCCCATTAGAGATACGATCCGCCGGGCAGAGTATTACAGTGGCAGTGGGTTTTCTCTTTACTTTCATTATTGCCCAAACATTTCTATCCATGCTTTGCCACTTAAAGTCAGGGATTTTCTTCTTTTTTGGAGGATGGGTGGTGGTGATGACTGCCTTTGTGTTCTTGTTGTTGCCTGAAACTAAGAATGTGCCTATTGAGCAGATGGACAAAGTGTGGAAGGAACACTGGTTTTGGAAAAGAATAGTGGGGGAAGTCGATGAAAGCACCAAGACACAGAGCACAACACAATCAATGCAAGCTATTTAAATGGAATTTGGGTTTTGAATAAACAATCCTATTTCTTGTTGTTGCATAGAACACTAGGAACTTGATGGGTTTCTTTTGTTAATTCTTGTTCTTTACAATACAGAGATATCTGCAAATGAAAAGAAAACAAAAAGCCGGTTCAGGAAAGAACCTACCTGGATGAGCATTGAAATCAATAAATTCAAGATATCATCTTTCTTTTACCAAACTGAGCAAGATCCCAAATTTAAACGAACCCACCCTACTCCCCCGAACCATTTCTGCAGTGCTGTCATGAATTATTAAATCAACAGCGAGGGTTCATCCCATGATTGCAGCTTCAACCATTATCGGATAAATTTAGAAAAATGGCTCTTCAGACCTTGAAGAATATAAAACATAATGATTTGATCCAATATTAAAGCATATATCAATTTAGTTCCTGTATCATTTGAATGATGTCAAATCACCAGCGAACACATTTCCAAATTCCAATCCACTCTCTTGTTTCTTCCGTTCCCCAGGTTTCCCTTGGAATAAAACCCTTGCCCATGAAATTATTGGTTTACATTTTGGATATTTATATAGTACAATTACTATTGAGAATAACTAATTAACCTCAGAATTATTTGAACAAATAAAAAAAATTTAATAACAAATAATCAAAAAGAATAACAAAATAGAATAAAAGTTTATTTTTTATATTGATAAATAAATATATTTATCATTTTAAATTTAGTCTTGTCACAAAAGATTTTCAAAAGGGCTCCCAAAAGCGCTGTAAATTCTGATTTTGAATGGTTATTTATAAGAATTGAAATTCTGAATTTAAATGGTTATTTATAGGAATTGAATCAACTCGTTAGGAAAGAAGTGAGACGCGAAAAAACTTGAAGACTTAATTGTATTGTTGCTGAGAATTGCACAATGTGTCCGTACCTATGAGTCGGCACCGCTCATTAACTTGGAAAAAGAAGTCCCTGTCGGGATGTCTGGGCTAAAGGCAATTTTCTTCAATGGTGAAACTACAGTACTCGCTCCTCAATGTTTACTTTCTGCCCATTTTAATCCTCTAACATTAATTCCTTCCATCTAGGTCCTTAATTCAACTTTCAAACTTTTGAATATTTGACAATTTAATCCTAATATTTTTTAT